CCTTCTTCTCAGAAATGTCTGTCAGATATACTAGGCCTATAAGCAAAAGATGGACACCCAGTGTTACAGAGGAACTTTGGGTGACTCTCCAGGCAGCCAGATGTCCCTTTTGTTAGGTAACATTACACCCTTCTAGGGTCTTTGATGGAGTTAAAAATTAAATAATTAAACTTAATTTTTTCTTTAGTTATGATTAAAAGTAAATTAAGTATAAAACTTTAGACTCACAAAAATAAATAATAGAGTATTTTCTCTAATTTTGCCAAATACAAATGGAGTGAATATTTTAACTGTAATTCTTAGTTGATAACTGTTTTTGTTGTATATAATTTTACTATGTTAAAGTTAAAACCTTCCTTTTTAAATATACAAAAAGGGGGAAATGCTATGGAACCTTTGTATACTTTAAATATGTATTATTCTCATTGGTTAATATAAAGCTGACTGGCCTATAGCTGGGCAAGAAGAAATTGGGCAGGAGACAGACTAGGAGGATGCTGGGAAGAAGAAAGGGGGAATTCTGAGGGTCCCAAGCAAGACACAGAGGAAGGAGGAGCTAACTAAACATGCCATACTGAGATAAGGTACTGAGCCATGTTGCAGAACATGGGTACAAACATGGTTAATTTAAGTTGAAAGAGTTAGTTAGTAACAAGCCTAAGCTATCAGCCAAACATTTATAATTAACATTAAGTCTCTGTGTGGATATTTGAGAACTGGCCAGCAGACCTGACAAAAAACTCCACCTACACAGGACAATCAGGGCTATCACATAGAGAAACCTTGTCTAGGAAAAAACAACAAAAAAGAATATGGAAGGTATGTCATAAAGAAAACACAAGTAAAGCACTTGACAGAGCACATAGCCATCTCCATAAGATCCCACAACTCAGTAATAGACAATTAACAACAATAAGAAGTGGGCAAGAGTCAAACACACACTTCTTCAAAGAAGATATACAAATGCCTAGAAATAATATGAAAAGATGCTCATTGTCATTAGGGAAATGCAAACCCGGTGTGAGCTGTAACTTACACATCATCTACTAGCTCTAGCCAGAAGCAGAAAGACTGAACATGCCAAAAGTGCTGAACACTGACACAAAGGAAGAGTGTCTGGACCTATGTGTAAAGTGGGATATGAAACAACAGTCAATGTGTTTTCTCTCTCTCCCTCCCTGTCCCCCCGCCTGTGTGTGTGTGTATGTGTGTGTGTTTATGTGTGTGCGCGCCCACCAGGTTCTGTAACTCAAATATTGTAGGTGGCCAGCAAGCTCTGTAGACCTAGTTGTCTCTGCCTCCTCTGGTCTGAAATTATAGACATGTGCCCCATACCTAGCTGTTTTATGTGGCTTACAGGATTCAAGTTCAGGTTCTTAAGATTGGGCAAACACTTCACCAATGGATCTATCTCCTCAGGCCTCGTGGTGGTTTCTTATAAAACAAAACATACACTTACCATATGTCCCAGAAACCCCACTCCTAATCCATTACCCAAGAAAACAGAAAGTATGGCCATGAAAAGACTTGAAATCATATATTAAAAATCTTACTCACAAAACCTTGACAAATTCAAATGAAAATCCAATTACTGAAAGAGAGAAGTTGTGTATCACCACAAATGGAAGGTTACTTGGCAATAAAAAGAAACTACTGTTAAATGCAAAACCACAAATTTCCTAAGAACTCTCTACTGACAATGTCACATAAACAACCATATTTACTAGAATTCCAGTTTAAAAACCATTTTAAAATTAATACATGTGCATTGTGTGTGTACATGTGCATGCCACTAAACATGTGTAGAGGACAAGTTGTTGGGAGATGGTTCTCTCTTGCCATGGTGTGAGTCCCAAAGAGAACTCAGGTCATAAAGCTTAGCAGGGCGTTCCTCTACCCACTGAGCCACCACATCAGCCCCACATTCCATTCATACAAAGTCACACAAACAGCAAGACTACACAGAAAGCAGGCTCTGATGAACAGAGAGATTTGCTGCCAAGTGGCACAAAAAAATTATGGATGGTGATGATGATATCCTAGCACCTCAAGACAGTGGTGCAATTTTAAAGACCATCAACCATGCTGACTGCTGCAGATTACATTTGTAAAGTTCTAAAGCACTCAGGGATTTGAGATGTATCCATGTGAGTGTGCATCTTTGTTTTGTTTTTGTTTTTTGAGATAGGGTTTCTCTGTGTAGCCCTGGCTGTCCTGACACTCACTCTGTAGACCTGGCTGGTCTGAAACTCACAGAGATCCTCCTGCCCCTGCCTCCTGAATGCTGGGATTAAAGGTGTGGGCCACCACCCAGCTAATTTTTTTAAATCTTAAAAAAAAGACCAAAAAACAATATTTTGGTAGACATATAATTTTATCAATTTATTAAAGATCAAAGAAAATTTACATACTAATAGATATGCTTATAAAAACATTTTATATAATTAATTACATCCTGACTGAATAGTTGGTATATACATATAATATCTTCAGTGTTTTTCAAAGTTGATCAACATTATGACTTTGTAATTGTTCCTACTGAGAACATTGCTTTATATATGTAGTAAAGATGGCAGAAGAACATTGAGGGTCTTTTAAGAAATTGCTAAAAGTTTGTCCTAGTCCTAACCCAAATTTCAATTATTTTTTTAATAATACTCAAACAACAATTTTGTTTGTTTGTTTTGGTTTTTTCAAGACAGGGTTTCTCTGTGTAGTCCTGGCTGTTCTGAAACTCACTTTGTAGACCAGGCTGGCCTTAAACTCAGAGATCTGCCTATCTTTACTTTCCAAGTGATGGGATTAAAGGAATGCACCACCTCCACTTGGCTCAAACATAAATTTTAGAAATGATTTTTAAAATAATTACATGTATGTCTATGTACATCTATATGAAAAGTGAGTGCTGGTAACCAAAGAGGGGTAAAAAAAGATTGGATTCCTTGGAGCTGGAGTTAGAAGCAGTTGTCACTCACCCATGGGGTGCTAGGTCTTTTTTTTTTAGCAGCTTCTGAAAACTTGGTCATAGGTGCCTTAGACATAACCACATGTACTTTCAAATAGCATAACCTAATACTAGCTTCATATTAATTTAGAGCCATGCTATCATTGACAGAATGCCAAAAAGCAAGTCTATCCTTCACAGAATAATTGAAAAGATAGACCAAAAACCCTTCTTTATTAGAAACTACAGTTAATAAAAACCATGTTAGCAGTCTATATCCTCTTAGTCAGTGTTCTGCTGCTGTAGGAAGTACTGGAGATAAATCAACTCATTAAGAGAAAAAGTTGTTGGGTGTGGTATCTTACAGCTGTAATCCCAGCACTCAGAAGCTGAGGCAGTTAGACTACATGAGTTTGACGCCAACCCCAAAGTCAGTTCCAGGGAAGCCTAGTCTATAGAGTGAGGCCTTGACTCAAATACAGATATACATACATACATACATTCATACATACATACATACTTACATACATACATACACAAACACACACACAAGCTGGGAGTTGGGCATGGTAGTACAAGTCTGTAACCCAAAAGTTTGGAAATGTAGACAGGAAGTCAAGAGTTCAAGATTATCCTTAGCTACACAGAGAATTTGAGTCCAGCCTGGGCTACATAAAGCTGAATCTCAAAAACCATAAGGTTTGGGGGCTGGCTTATAGTTTGGAAGTTCCAGCCCCTGATCTAGTGGATCCATCTTTTCAGGTCTGCAATGAGCTACATATAACAGCAGCTACATATATAACATATAACATATGACCAGAATCAACTTAGCCCAAAGCAAAAGGAGACTGAAGAAGTGGCCGAGCCCCAGAAATCCCTTGAAGGGCAGATCCCAGGGACCCCTCCCCCCAAAGATTCTATTTACTCCTCATAATGCCACAGCTGGATCCCAGCTTTTAACACATGGGCCTATGGAGTTCAAGTTATAGCACACATTACAACACTGAGTCCCACCATTAGAAATGCAGCAGATGACATAATACTAGTAGAAGTGACAACCACTGATGTTTACTGACCATTTACTGCTCCTAAGCACTCACTATTCATGATGATTTACATGAATTTGTTTAAAGTTTGTAACCACCCTAGGAGATAGCATGCCTTATGTTAAAGATGGGAAACCATCTCCCTAACTACACACATGTATGAGACAGTAACTCATAAGTGCACACCAGATAATGTATAGTGTGCTTCTCTGGAAACAACTTGTGTTCCTTTATCAGTCTATATGACCATAAACTAAGAAAATGGGCCCACTTGTAGGTATGTGCTATAAGAACACTATGTTGACTGGAAAATTATTCAGGAATGGCTTTATTATTTTGGAAACATACCTTAAAACCCCAAAATCTTTGTCCTTCTTCCCAGTCTACAGAACAACTGTTCATTTATATTTGATAGCATCAACACTAACATTCTTAGACTATGACACTCCCTCTTAAGACCTGTATTTTTGGATTCGCTTCAAAAGGTTTATGTGTTCTTAAGAAAAGGCATGAGCCGGGCAACTGTTGGCTACACAAGCAGGGCCTGCTGGAACCTAAAATGATTCCCTCACTCAGCAAACTGAATCCGTTCACTCTGCCTGTGGGGATGAAGCCCTGGGGAAATGAATTTAGGGTGTGGTGAAGCACCCATTTTCTTTTTCTTTTTAACCTGCGTAAGCTCAGTCCTGGTTCAAAGGAGCCTCAGACTTCTCATTCTTTTAACTAAAGCTATAGTTTCACTCACCCCTCTGCTTCTCATGCTACTTCAAAGTGGAATGCCACTGGGGCGAGAGAGACAGGAATGTTCTGACATTATTCTAAAATTTTAACTTCTCATGCAATTATAAGCACAAAGATGGCCAGGCTGCCAGCTGGGAAACTGCTGCTATTGTCAATAGCTACTCATTGGCAATCTTGTCATACTACAAGAACTTTTTCACAGCCACAGGCACAAGCAAGCCATGTGGAAACAATAATCGGTGCTTTTAATCAAAATCAAGTTTGCTTACAGTGAGGTCTTCCCACTCTTTGGGGACTAGGTGAGTCTGACTTTATTTTTTTCTGTAAAGCTTCATCGGAACATTCCAGAGCACCTTCCAGGCCTTGCTCAGAGTCACTTGGCTTTGACTCTCCTGCTTCGTTTATATGGGACTTGTCAAGGTTTTCAGACATCCTCAGTGAAGTCTATTCACTTTCCTAGGAAAGAAAGACAATGAGTCAAACATGTCACTGTATGACCGAGCAAACCCTTAGTCTCTGAGTTTCAGTTTTCTCAACAGGTTTGGGAAAGTTATATTCATTTATACTATACCTCGGTGGTCAAAGACACTTAGCCAAGGACGCCTTTGAATCTTCGAGAATAGCTGGAACAATTGTATCTCACTCCTGAATAATGTCACAAGTTGGGGAGGGGGCTTAAACCACCTGCTTCTGCTTCAAAGGGAGTGATGACCTTAAGTCTGTATTTAGAGACAGTGTTTCCCTAAATATAACCAATTGACCCTGAGCTCTCTATGTCACCCAGGCCAGCCATGAACTCATGACCTTCCCGCCCCCAATTCATAAATGCTAAAACTGCAGATGTGCACCACCACACCAACCTGAAACTAACACTCTTTCATGGTTGGGAGCTTATAGGAAAAAAAATCCTTGAAAGCTGGGCCTGCTTACATACTCTTGTAATCCTAGCACTTGGGAGGTAGAGGACAGAGCAACTTCAGGGCTAGGGTCACTTAAGTAAAAACACAACACCAAAATGCAACTCATTGGAAACACTTCTAGCCACCTTCCAATGTTGTGCTGAGGAGATGAATGGCTTCTAGTCCTGTTGTGTGGATAAAAACACCTGGGAATGGGAGTTTGGGAGATGGCTTGGTAAGTAAAGTGCTTGCTCTAAAAGCTTGATGACCTGAACTCAGATCCCTTGTACCACTGAAGCCAGGCACGGAATCATGCCTGCAAGATACTCAAAAGTTGATCTCTCTGGCTTCCATGCCCATGTACAGCTCAGTACTCATACACAACATACACAACCCTTCCCCTAAATTCTAAAAACATAACTGGAAGAGGCAGGCAGATCTCTGTGAGTTTAAGGCCACCCTGGTCTACATAGTGAGAGCTCCAGGACAGCCCAAGCTACATAGTAAGACCCTATCTCAAAAACCAAACTAGACTGTGTGTGTGTGTGTGTGTGTGTGTGTGTGTGTGTGTACAGTTTTTAAGACAGGGTTTCTCTGTGTAGCCCCCCAGCTGTCCTGGAACTCACTCTGTAAACCAGGCTGGCCTCAAAATCAGAGACCCACCTTCCTCTGCCTCCAGAGTGCTGGGATTAAAGATGTGTCCCAACATATATTTTTAAGTAGTTGCTAATCAACAGGAAAAGCCTATGAGTAGGAAGTACCAAGCAACCATAATGAATGTGACTGGGTTTTCATTGTATTAGCTGCTGATAAGAATGGGGATATTACCTGACACACTAGTCTAGACCAGCTAGTAAGGGTATTTTTCAAAACATTTATTTATCTTATGTATATGAGTTTTTTTGCCTGCATGTATGCCTGTACACTGCATGTGTACCCAAGTTGGTCAGAAGAGGGCAATGGGTCCCTGAAACAAGAGTTATGGATGGTTCTAAGACAACAAACATGTGGGTGCTGAGAATAAAAAACCTTCAACATCTGGAAGAGCAGTCAGTGCTCGTAACTGCTGAGCCAGCTCTCCAGCCCAAGATCTGCCTGTCTGTTTGCTTATTGGTTTTTCCAGACAGGGTTTCACTATGTAGCCCTGGCTGTCCAGGAACCCACAGAGATCCACCACGGGCACCGCCCGCAGAGTCTCACAACCCTGGCTGGCCTGAAACTCTATACAGAGAACAAGGGTGACCACCTCACAGAGATCTGCCTGCCTCTGCCCCTCAAGGGCTGGGATTAAGGGGCACCGCCATGCCAAGCTGAATCTCACTTTTCTAACCCAGTGGCCTACCCCTCCCCTAGAGACAGAGTCTTTCTATGTAGCTCTGGCCACACAGGTCAGTCTGGAACTCATAGATCTCTGAGCTCTGGGATAAAGGCATGTGCTACCTACCACACCTGACCCAACTTTTCCTTCCAAAACCCATCTCTTCACTGTCCCAAATCCTACTAGAGTTTGGAAGTGCAACAGACCCGGTGTATAACATCACCCACAGACCCCATAAGAAAGAAAAACACATCTAACTTTAACCTCTTCACATGCTGAGGAGCTGACCAGATGATGGAGTCCTTCAGTGGATGCAGAAAGGAGGGAAAGCAAGACTCCTTTAAACTCAGTAGACTGCCCCCCCCCCCAGACCCTGCAGCTTCTCTCTCCTCCCACAGCGCTTCCTTCAACCTTATGAATGTTTACACTTTTCTCCAAAGTCCTGCAGGGCTGATTGCTAGACAGTTGGCATTCATCACTGACTGAAATTCCAGTCAAAATACGATTATTTAAATAGGGATGGAAAGATGAAAACAGTCTAGCCAGAGAGAGACAGACATGCTTACAGGCAGCCGCAATGAAACACAAAGAAGCATGACTTTGCTATTCTAAATAGCAGGAGGAAGCCGAGAAAACCTTCCCAGAAAAGATGGCACGTGACCTATCTTTGAAAGGAGTAGAATTTCACCCAGTTATAAAGTGGGGGTGGGGTGGAAAGCGGGTTATTTCTTTCCTCTGGCAGAAGTCATGGCACCCGAAATGAAAATGTGAGAGGTAGCGAAGATGGGAAAAGAGAGTTGGGGGTCAGATGGGGGGAAATGCTAATTTGTACTTAAAAAGCAAAACGAAACTCTTCGCCTAGATTTTGAACTTCTCAAGAGCCAAGACCAACCATATTCTCCAGAAATACTCTGCACCACCCCCATGCCCGGCAAACAGATACCCATCTGTTGATAGACATAAATCCCTGTGTCATCTGTGTGATGTCACTGTTTGGGAGAGGTTGCCCAAGGTGTTTAAAGTAGCACTGGACCTGTGGTTTGAAACTGACAATACCTTTAGTAAGAGTGATCAGTTTTTCTTAAAATATCCAGTTCCCTGTCACTACTAAGATCCAATTCTGGCTCTTTAGAGGCTGTGGGACTTCAGTTTTCTACGGAGTTGCGTACCTCCTCATTTAACGGACAAGATTACACAGAGACCACAAGCTGGCACACAACAACCATTCCACAACTGGCAACTATAATTAATGAGCAGTGGGGGCGCTTCCGGGGGCATAATTGCTCCCATTCATTCATTCAACATCATAACCGAGGAGAGCAGGATGCTGGCATGGGGACCCACATCTGTCAGGGCTGCACGAGGGCCCAGGCAGAACACAAAAGAATCCTCCAGAAAGGGTCTTTCGGTGAAAGAGAGATGTCTGCCCACCGGGATTCCGTTGTAAACAGCTGTCCAGGCGGGCGAGGCGCTCCGGGAGTGCGGCCTGGAGGGTGGACCTCCCCCCGCCCCTGTGTCCTCTTCGCCTCCACCCGGCATCCCCGGGACCCGACCGGTCGGGAGGGGCCAAGAAACGCCGGTGCTTCGGCCCCGCGCCTCCCGGGCTGGCCCGCCGGCCTCCGCCGCCGCCCCGCTCACCTGCCGCGGCGTCGGCGATCTCCCTGCGGCCGCTCCGGCTGCGAATCCCGCGGGGTGGCGACGCCAAGGGGCGGGAGCGGCGCAGACGCCCAGCCCCAGCCCGCGTCCCCTCCCGGCTGCCGCGCTCGTCAGCCCCGCCGAGGTGGGCAGCCGCCACGGTGACCGGCCCTCAGCCAGCCGCCGGGCTGTGCCTGTGCGAGGCGGCTGTAAGCCGGTGCGCCTGCCCAGCCTAGGGCGGCGCCATGTTCCTGTACGGCAGCTCGCCGCTGTCACGAGGGGCTCTCGGCGGTTCGGAGCTCAGCCACACCACGTTTCACGTTTCTGTGTAGAGATAAGGCTAGGGGTCTGCAGCCGGGCAGGCCTGGCCCGGGTCGGGGGGAGCGGCGGCGACGGGCGATTCCCACACGCTCACGCCCGCGCAGGGCGGCGCCATGTTGCTTTACTGAAAGAAAAGTGATTCCAAGAGAGGCCAAAGGCAAGGCGCCTTAGAAGCCTCCTCCCTCGCCAGGACTTTGAAAGTTGAGAGTTATTTTCATGTTTCGTTTTTTCATGGCAGGATTTCCTTTGTGTAACAGTAGTGTAGACCAGGCTGGCCTCGAACTCAGAGCCCCGCCAGCCTCTGCCTTCCAAGTGCTAGGACTAAAGGCGTGCGCCACCACCAACCCGGCTGCAAGTCAAGCTTTTCATCATCTACTCCAACTTCATTCCCTTGCCTTCATCTCCTCCCACCCCCCTGCCCACACACTTAGCTGAGTCTCAATGACACAGCCGCCCTTTGGATTCTGAACCCTGTGTGGTCTCTTCGAGGTGTGTAGGTGACTGAGGCTTCAGCTGATGCGATGAAGGGGGGCGGAGGAGCGGGGGGGGCGTAGGGAGCGGGAGCAGTTCCGTAGCTCCCTTGGGTTTGTTCATAAACTAGATGAGCGCACAGAGTAGTTGCATTCCAGAAAGGAAGATCATTTCCCCTAAATATCATGTCAGGACAAGCCCACTTGGGGAGTCTCATCTCCTTAGTTCCATGAAGTTGGTCCGGCATGATTCTTGCTGCATCGAGAAAACTACCTCCCACACACCTTCAACCCTGCAGCACTAAAATAGCAAACTAACTGCACTAACGCATACTATGTTATCTTGGCCTCGATCTTAACTAATAAAAGACACGTGACTGAACTTTTTTCCAATGCTTTATAACTGGGCATAAATTATGCATTTCTTAAAGCAAAGCAGTAAATCTTCTACCTGTAGCCTATAATATGTGGTTTTATTTAAATAACTAGACAAACAGATGGGATTAGCATAAGCATCTTGAGGGCTCAGATGGGATGGGTAGGGATTCTGGCACTCTAGAGCCAAGGGATACCACAGGTCACAGTAAGTGTAGCAGCTTACAGCCCTGCTTCAGGGAAAGGCTTCCCCAATGTATCAGCTCAGCTTGACAAGGGAGGGCTTCCCCAGCGATGTAGTTACAGTTCAGCCCTGGTGCCCTGCCCCGCCCAGCCAAGACCTGCCTTGATTCGGTTATCTGTGTTGAACTCCATAAGTACACACCTCCAAGTGTTTGCACAAGAGCCCAGAAAAATGCCCAGGCCACAAAACACTCCCTTTAAGAGGCGTCTGTCTCACTACATAGACCAGGCTGGCCTAAAACTCACAGAGATCCAACTGCTTTTGTTCCCTAGTGCTAAGATTAAAAGCTCACAATTGGCCCAGTGTGTGTGTGTGTGTGTGTGTGTGTGTGTGTGAGAGAGAGAGAGAGAGAGAGAGAGAGAGAGAGAGAGAGAGAGAGAGAGAGAGAGAAGGCCTCATACCCCAGGTTGGCTATGAACTTACCATGTAGCCCTGGATGCCCTTGAAGCTCTGATTCTCCTACATTCAAGCATGGGTATTGTATACAGACTCACACACACACACATACACACACACACACACACACACACACACACACACACACACCAAACCTGATTTATGCAACACTGGGAATCAAACCTAAGGCTTCCTCCATGCTAGGGTAGCTACTACCAGCTCCCCAACATCCCCCAAAGCAGCTTGCTTTTGAATTTCAAAATTTGGCACCTGCCACACGTGAGTCCCTTCCCTAATATTTTGATCTCTCCCTCCCCCACAACACATCCCCACACCCTTCCTCCCTGTTGCTGGGTAACATTTCCTAAAATTTACCATTTTGAAAAACTGAAAAAAAAAATGAAAGAACAATGAAAACCTCTATGCCTTTGACATAAATTTGGTAATTGGTAACATGTGCCACATTTACGTGTGTGTGTGTGTGTGTGTGTGTGTGTGTGTGTTGAGACGGGATCTCACACTGTACACCATGCAGCCAGTTTTGAAACATCCAGGCCAGTTGTCTTGTACCTAGTCTGTTCTCTACATAGCAACCAGTGGAATTCCTTTGAAACTGCTCAGATCATGTCACTCTGCCTAAAACCCCACAGCAGCTGCCTGTCCTCTTTGAGGAAAAGCCCAAATCCTCACAATAGCCTATACCCTGTGTGTTTTATACTCTCCAGTCTTGCCAGCTCTAGGCCATGGTGATGAGCCTCCTTGACCCTATCAGGTAAGCCCGCTCCTTTTTTCTAGAACGTGTTTTACTGATCATTTGGCTGCTTGACACCATCCCTATTTTGAATTTTTCTCCTCTTTTAATATTTACTTTATTTAAGTGTGTATTCACATGAGTGCTGTGCCCAAAGAGGGAAGAAGAGGGCATAGGATCTCTTGGAACTGGAATTAAGGGAATTAAGGGTTGTGAGCCACCAAAACAAGTACTGAGCAGTGAACTCTGTAACCAGTCTTTCTCTGCCCCGCCAGGCAGCTGTCAAATATGACACAGAGGCTTGTTACTAATTGTGAAGGCTCAGCCTTAGCTTAGGCTTGTTTCTAACTAGCTCTTATAACTTAAATTAACCCATTTCTATTAATACATGTGCAGCCGCATGGCTTGTGCCTTTTACCTCTTTTCCTACATATCCTGCTTCCTCTGCATCCAGCTGGTGACTCCTCCTTACTTCCTCACACAGCTCTCTGTGTCTAGAAGTCCCACCTACATCTCCGGCCTAGGTACTGGCTGTTTAGCTTTTTATTAAACCAATCACAGTGACATATCTTTACACAGTATAATCAACTGTCTCAAAACAGTACTCAGGTCCTCTGAAAGAGCAGTAAGCACTCTTAACCACCAAGTAATTCCTCCAGCCCTTCTCCTTCTCCTCTGTCTCCTTCTCCTCCTTCTTTCAAATCAGGACCTCAATATGTTATTTAACTGACCTAGAACTTAATGTTTAGTCCAGGCTGACCTCGATCTCATGGCAATCCTCCTCCCTTAGTCTTCTGAGTTCTGACACTATACCTGCAAACCATGACACTGGCTTTCTTTCCTTTCTTCTTTTCTTCAGTACTGCAGTTTGAATCCAGGTCCTCCCACATGCTAGACAAGCCATACACCACGGAGATTCTCCCCAGCTCCCCTTGCTTCTCTTGAGTCACCTCTCAATGCCAGCTTCTTATAGAGACCACCCCTCAGAACCATTGACATTAAGTGCCCCCCACTCCCTACTCCATTATACTCCTTTTAAAAAGTTATGTACTTTTGTTTAAAAGGAAAAACTGAAGATATGGAATAGTTTCTTGAATTCCTAAACTGAGGACTGGAACTACAGGTTGTGGCATCCATGTACACACACACATACACACACACACACACACACACACATAATTTTTTTCCAGAAAACTTATAAATACAACACTAGTAACTTCTCTTGGGGCGAGGGTGGTTTTCAAGACAGAGTTTCTCTCTGTAGCCCTGGCCATCCTAGAACTTACTCTGTAAACCAGGCTGGCTTCAAACTTACCAAGATCTTTCTGCCTCTGCCTCCCAAGTATTGGGATTAAAGTTTGCACCACTACCTTCTAACTTCTTTTCATGAATCAAATGAAATTAAGTTGAGAGCTAGACACTAAATCAGTTGGCTACTTTATAAATATTTCCTAAACAACTTCTACCTGGGCAATGGTGGTATACACCTTTAATTCCAGGGCTCAGGAGGCAGGGGCAGGGGAATCTCTGAGCTCATGGCCAGCATGCTCTATAGAGTGAGTTCCAGGACAGCCATGGCTATGTGGAGAAAAGTTGCCTTGAAAAAGCAAACAAAAACAGGACAGACAAAGGACATCCTCCTGGACTCGGGGGATATAGCTCATCGGAAGAGTTTGCCCAAAGCCTTGTACCAAATCAACAGAACCGGATCAAAACAAAGCATTCTCCTGCTTAACCCCAGCATCACTGCAACAAGGTGATCCACAACTCAATCCTCAGGCCTCTTTCAAGCCAAGCGTCACTGGTTGTCCTAGCAACACCCCTTACAATGAAGGCGTCTGGTGGAGAAAGGCGTCTGGTGGAGAAAGGCAGTGAGTACTCTTGTCAGTCTCCTTCTACACTCGAGTGTCCTGACTTCCCTTGCATCCTGGTTAGTTTTAATCAGCTTGATACGAGCCAAGGTCATTTGGGAAGGGGGAATTTCAACTGAGGAAACACCTCTATCAGCTTGGCAAGACTGTGGGGGCATTTTCTTGATTGATTGATGTGGGAGGGCGGGGTCACTGTGTGTGGTGTCAGCTCTGGAGTGGTGGTCCTGGGTCACACGAGAAAGCAGGTTGAGCTAACCAGGAAAGCAAGCCAGCAGACAGCATTCCTCGGAGGACTTGGCTTCAGTTCCTGCATCCAGCTCCTGTCCCGACTTCCCATGGTGATGGACTGTTATTGGGATGTGTAAGCCAGATACATATTTTCCTCCTCGAGTTGATTTTGGTCACAGCATAAAAGGAACTCATACACCTTGACTTCATGCTCTGGACACCTTCAAAGACCAGTTGTTCTGAGGGCTGTTTCTAACCCTTTGTCCTCCTAGTGTGCCTCCTTTCAGGTGGCACACAGTTTCACCTGGTCCTGGAGGTGTTAACCCTTCTCACCCAGTGAACCAGGCCAGCCAACCATCTCTACTGAGACTTAGCTGTTCCTTCCCTTTAAAATTAATACCCAAACCTGGAGAGATGGCTCGGCAATTAAGAGTACTGGCTTTTCCTTCAGAGGACCCAGGTTCAATTCCCAGCACCCACATAGCAGCTCACAAC